ACCTAATTTTTAGACTTCTTTTAAATTTGCGGAACCAAAGTAAGGCAACGATACCAAAAATTTATGCGAAAGAATAATGTATTCATAATTTTTAATAACCCTGTACCAATTTACATGTACAAATAATAAACAAAAAAAGGAAATAGATTTTCATAAAAAGTCGTAGATATCCTTACAAAATATTTTAACTATTATATAATAATATTAAAAAAAAAAAAATAAATAAAAAAACAAAAGTATAAGTGAGGAGATAAATCTTCAAATATTTGAATAAAAAACGGCAAAAATATGCAGAATAATTCCAAAGGCGAAGAGAAAAAAAATTTCAGCACATACCAACATTCATGTACAAACTTTGCGTTGCTTGTATATTTAAATAACGTATAAGAAATGCTCTGACATTATGATCTACTTTTACAAATGAGACACAATTTAACCAAATTGAATTGTGCGTAAGGACATTCTTATAGCATGTGCGAGGAAGCTTGTATCTAAGAGAATTCTTTTGTTTATTAAAAATTTTTGGTTTCTATTTCATTTTCACAAACATATTTTTCATAATTTAAGTACTTACCATAAGCTTTTATAAAATGAATTTGAAAAAAAAAAACAGATGTTCCGTAAATTTGTTGAAAATAAAAAATGGATATAGGAAAAATGGTGGAAGTGGAAAATAAAATGAATTTTTATTTTGTCATTATACTCTTGACCTTATTAATTTGGCCCTATTCAAAGTGAAAAGAATATTATTTTATATGGAGTGCCGAATTGTTTATGTAGAGAGCAGTTTATATCCTGTGTATAGTATTCATTTTTTGTAAATCTATGTATTGTCAATGAATTTTCCTGAAAATTTATGAGTTAATCGTAAATAGGAAAGAAATGTTAGAATTTATTGTTTTAAGAAATTTAGAGCAATTTCAAATGTAAAAATCAATTTTAATAATAAAAATTTGTAAAATAAATTTACAAAATTATTTAGGTATTGAAAAGCTATATCAAGATTTGCTTTTACCCCAGCCTAAAATACCCTCAATTTATTTATGCCACAAATTTGTAAAATTTAAATAAATTATGAATTTGGAGAAAAAAAATTCAAAATTTGCAAAATTTTTATTAAATTTTGCAAAAAGTTTGTCTTGTATCTAAACGCTCTTGAATATGAAAGTGAAAAATTATGTTGAGATGAACTAAAAAGTTGGTTCCAAAGTTTTTTTTTATTTAATTTCGTTTCACGTTTAAATTTCGTTAAATCTGAAAGAATTTGATAAAATTTTTTAAGTGAACGCTAAATAAATTGTAATTTCAATTGAATTTTTAGCTTTATTATAGCTTTAACATATAATGAAACTTGCTTGCGAGCAATGTGATATCATATAAGTGTATCAGCATATTTCACGGACTGTCAGCAAGCGATAAGGGCGCGTTGGTAGCAGAGATGTCTATTTCTAGAAGGGTGCGGAATTGTAGATTTTTCAACGAGATGGTGCAATCGTTCGAAATTGATTTGATTTGGATTCCGGAGCATACCAAAATCCAAAAAAATTGCAAGGCGAATGAGTCTCCGAAGCATGGAACGACTCTTATGCGATCAGACGATGCGTCTGAGTACGTACAAATTGTTACTACGCAATGCGGCAATAGAGAAAACAAACATAATAGTAGATAATTTTGATCTAAGCTAGATGTGCGTCCCATTATGGATCTAATGTCTCTCCGATGAACTTTCTTGAGTCACATTTATATCTTCTTGGGTCTACTTACGGATCTGGAGAACATAAATGTCAGGGGTTTAAACCAGTTCATAAAGGACTCAGGCTGGTTCAAGTAAGGGTGTTGATATGGAGATCCAACGGTGTTACAACGAGTCTATCCAACCTTAGTGTATTCTCTGAAAGCTGCGTTAACCTTACCTAACTTAAAGTAACATGCAATGCGGTAATTTGAAGTAAAATGATTAGACGTTATAATAGTAAACTTCTAGCACGAATATAGAACTTCCTTATGAGTTTATAGAAAATTTTTGATAAAATACGGAAACGTTTATATTTTTAAAATTTAGGAGCTGCAATATTTTGAGAAGGGTGAGAAAGGTTCAAATGTGAATGTTTTTTCTTTATGAGAAATTAATTCTTCACACTCTCTTTCATATGGAATTGCAAATTTAAAACTTAAGGGGTGTAGAAGTTTTATAAAAATAGACATCCGAATGGACGAAAAGAGCAGAGGCAATAAACACATAGCATTTTTTTCAACTGTTTTTTAGAAATGTGCTAAAAAGGAGAAAAATGTTTCAATAAGAAAATTTAGTTTTCATTTCTTCACATATACCTTATTTATTTCATTATAGCCTAGAGCATAACAATTTAGTAAATGGAATTTTGGAATTAGACATGAAATATTCATTAAAATGTTAATAGTATTGTTCTTGGTAAAAATCCTCTTATAACCCGATGTGTTTGGCTAAAAACTAAAATTTTGTTAATAATAAATTATAATTTCTTATAATATTTTTTGGATAATTCGGTGGGACTAAATCTACAAAGGTATGCATGTGTAGTTATCACATATGGCAGTACACGTAATATAATTAACACGTTTATTCAATTAAACTCTGAAATTTCCACTGAAGTGAATTTCTTAATAAGTACAATCAATACTACACTAAATTTATCTCTATAAACATTTCCAGGATAATATAAAAAAAGGTTATTGCAATTAATTTTTTAAATAAATTTTAATTGAAAATTTTTATTGCATGTTGCCAAGGTTTAACACTATAACTTGATTAGGGAATTAAGGATATAGAATTTGCTCTGTTATTCGTTAAATGCAGCCCACTTGTATAAATTCTTTTACTATTTTTACAGTCGTAAATTGAAATGGAGAATATTTTTTTACACCAATTGTGATGCAAGAAATCATCCAATAGTGTAATGTTCGGATAAAATCGATAAAATCGAAGTGTATATATGTAGGTACTAGTATTTCTGTGTATATTTCAATGCACTGTCACGAAAAGCAATTTTTTCACTTGTTACACTCTTTAAAGTATGCTTCAATAAAATAAAATTTCTTACAAAATAAAAGAACTTACATTGAACATGTTGTTTCTCGAGTCTTATATAACACAATCTACATTGCACACAACCCGATATAAAGTATTATAAGCTATTTGAAAGTCAACTATAGAAAAAATTTTATTATCGACTAGCATATCCTCTTTAATTGAATTTGAACACTTTTATGTTTATACGTACATTTATACGTGTTGTTTATATTGTAAGATATGTGAAGCTTTTATCGTACTAGAGAAAAATACCTTTTATGTACAAATAATGTCATTTCGTTGCATTCACTTATGGTTATATAAATAGTATCAAGCACAATTTTTCACTTCTTATTTATATTTTATTTTCACAGAAATTTATATGTACATTCACAATAACTTCCAATATTTCATTATCTTTTCCAATAAATTTGAAATTTAATTAATCTTAAGCAATCATCGACATTTCAATATTAATCTCACATCATAGAGCGTTTTAAACACATTAGCTTTTTTATATACACAGTTTTCGTTCTAAAATGTATATGCTTCCCCAAAAACACGTTATTTTTTAGGTATGACCTGAATAAATCACAATATCAGGCATTGAAAATTGCTCCCGTTGGAGCAAATTTGTGTATATAGACCAAGTTCATATACAATTTGTTTATATTTATTGCTATTATTCCGATTAGTTAAAATCTCATGGAACTATTGTATATAAGCAAAAATATCTGAAGGACATTTGATGAAACCTTTCTAATATAAATCATTTTGAATAACTTTAAACAGAAGTCAGATAGCTCTTGTAGGGTAAATTGTAGATTAATAATTGGAATGATAACGGCATGAAAGGTCTATTGTGCTCTTTCCTTATTGGCCTTCCACACTTTCTCGGGGCCCACTTTTCAAATTCTCCAATTTCAAATTCTTCCCATTCGATAGGGATAACGAATAAACGTGGTATAAGCAAAAAGTGGTCTCCGCTTATACTCCATTTATACACGGTAACTTTAATTCAACTCGCTGTTGGATCCTCTTAACATTTCCAAATAACTGTCGAAGCGTTACAACTTCAACTCCAACACTATTACAGCTCCTTGATCGAAATATACCGAATCTACCACTTGCAGAGTACATACGTGACTTGGACAGAAAAAAATGAGTAGAAAGTTATTCATCTATCGTCAAAACCACAAGACATTTTAAAAATATAAATATGGATTTAAATATAGTATTATTAATAGTTTTAGATAATATTTTATTTTGACAATTCAATTTTGTATTTGACTGCAAAAATGCACTTTCTTATCATAGTAATCTATTCACCCTTCAAAGAGTAGACGATTTTTATGCACAAAAATTAATTGTAGTGTAATTACTTGAAATGCGCTAACATTTTCTTTTGAAAATAACAAAAATTGTTTAAATAACCTTCATGTAGCACAAAGTACTTAGTCATTATATTTTTTTCACATATTTGACAGAGCGTTCCATAACTTATTCCAATTGCACAATTTGTTTTCCTCACATTCTCTAATTCAAAAGTTAATTAAATTTAATCAACATTCAATATGCTGTCCATTGAAAGGAAATCCGCAGTTATTTAATCAATAAACTAACTGTAAATACATTGATTAAGTACAATATTTTGGCAAATTTTACACAATTTATCAGCGTAGTTTGGTAAATTATGTCATCAATACCCATAGTAGATAACATTCACAAATTTTAATGAAAAGCGAAAATAAATTCCAATGTCATCTTGTACATAATTTTTTGATTTATTATGCCCCGTTCTCCTCTCCTGTATTTTTTCCGCCCTTCTTGTAGATTTTTCTTTGTTTTGGCGACCCGCTTTTATATTTTTTCTTGCAATATTTTAATAAAATTTCACCTTTTTCGATTCAACCTTGATTTCATATTTTTATTTATTTTCTTTTTTTTTCAGCTGAAAATTCACATCTGGATGATTTATATACAAGATATAGACAAAGATTAAGAAAATCACTGTTCATCTCTGGATTATCAATATCTTTGGTAGCATGTGTTGTGTCAATCATTTTAAGTTCTATAAAGGATCAGGTGAAAACAAAAGAAACAAATAATTTTTTTTTTTATAAAATAACTTTGTATATGTATATAAGTACATAGTTGGTATGGAATGAAAATCTAGAAAGAAACGAGAGCAGTGTGGTGAAGAGAAATGAGTTATAAATAAAACTTTACAATTCATTTTTATAAAAGAAATGCGAAAAAGAGAATAAAAGACGGGAAAACTTACTGCAAATAAATAGCATTGGGTGCTCTTATAAATTACAAGATACGGGTAAATTACGATTGCAAGCAAAATGGTTTGATTTTGCAATATGTCCATTAGATTATGGTTGATGTGTATTTCATTTGCAAACACTTGAAAAAATTTAACTGCTATTCACGCAACTTTCCTTACAAAAATTGTTATTCCTGTTCGAATATTCCAAAATAAATATGAAATCGCAGTTGTCTATAGCCTAGAATTTTTGGAATAAAGTGGATTTTTCGAGAAATCAACCAAAAATTGTTATTTAGAAATGTGTATTTCTTACATTTATGAAATAATTGAAAATTGTTTAAAATTAAGATGTTCAAATAGAGGAGAAGATTCGGGAATCTTTAACTTTAGTAGATTTTAAAAGCCAATTCAATATTGTAAACATATTCACTTATATTCCACAACTTTTGAAGAAGTTTTGAGATATTGAGATCCAATGGGACTCCTCAAATTTTTGGCAAAACTGGAATTCTCTATACAAAATTTTATTCGGTATTCCTGATCAAAAATTAAAGTTGTTTTCCATAATTCTTGGATTTTATTAAAAAGAAAAAACGTTTTTCCAACTATAAAGGACACTCCTGCAATATTTTTTATATTTTTTTTTGTGAAATTTTAATTTAATAATTTCTTTTTCCTTATCCCTTTTCTTATATACGTTGAAAAAAAAGGATGCGAAATGAAAAAGAAAATTTAATCTATAAATTTAATCTCAATTTCATTTCATTTGTTTTTTTTTATTAATTTTCTCTCTATCACAGAGTATCCTGCATTTAATATTATTAGCTGTAGCTGGTATCGCTTCAGGTAGCATATTAACAGCATTACAATTTCCTGCTGTATTAAGTTCACCATATGCTGCTTTAGCATTTGCATTGATTACAACTTTAGTATTGGGTACAACAGCAGCTATTACTGGTGGACCATTGGCACCATTACCATTATTTGCTGTAATTTTGGTAAGTTAAATATATTAGAAGATAGAAAGTATAGAAAAAATTAAATTAAAATTTTATTTCTTTTTTTAAGTCCTTTATCGTCTTTATTTTACCTTTTTCTATAAACAAACTTTGAAGGAATTTTAAATAATAATTTTTGCTAGTTTTCATAAAGAAAGAGAAAACTGTATTAAAATTTTAATTTTGAATTTTTTTGACTTTTGACAAAGAAAGGATAATTAAGGAATTAGAAAAGAAAGTATGAAGGTTATTCGTATATTATCATAGCTTAAAATGCGAAATTCCTTAAATGAAATTTAATTGCAAAATTTTTTCTTGAATTGCATATTTATACGGGAAAATATAAGAAATATTCTCGGTTTAAATTGTTTTAATATTCAACCATCTATATTTAATTCAATTATTGTATTTAATAATTTATTTCAATTAAAGTTTATGAAAAGTATTTGAAATAGTTGGGTTGAATAGATTCAAAATTCCCAATCACAATCATACATGTATATTTCCACGTTTCAAACACAACAAACCTAATGTATAAGTATGATTTCACACTTTTGGGCATTAAATATTTTAAATTGCCATTATGATAATCTAAAATAATTATTTTTAACACAATTTGAGTAGTTCAATAAAACTTTTATAGCTTTAAAACAGATTACAAATTGTCGTATAACAATGATTAGTAAGTGTTCTTGCACGTATTGAACACACAGAAATCATTAGCAATAAACCGTATTTTATTGGAGTCTAATGAAAGATTTTCTTGAAAATAATTTATTTTCGTCATTTTGGATATTTTAAACGCTTTATCAATAATATAAAATTATAATAAATTTTTTTCTCTCTTCTGAATGAAAAACTGCGTATTTGTATGTGTCTTTTTTAATATGCACGATGCTCTTAAAAATTAATGAGCATTTGGTAATAAAATAAAATGGTTGTGCGATAAAATATTTCATTTCACCTAAACACAAATTCATATAGGCATGTGTTGCGAGTTTTATTTCATTTTCCGATATTTTCTCTCATCTTATTCGTGAATTAACATTTCATATCGCCGTACAACTAAAATCAAGGCTTGTTCATATTTCCTGGAATATTGATGAGACCGAACATTTCCTGGAGTATTGATGAATTTGAAGAAAGAAATCGACGTTCAGGGGATTTTATGTTTTGCAATGTGAAGTTTCAAATTTAGCAGTTGGGTGTACATTGGGTGGACAAAATATCAAACTTTTTATGGTTAAATAGATAAAGACATCATAAAATGACAAAATAAAGTTTTTCCATGCCAGTAATTATTATTTTATTCCGGCACACCAGTATAACTATCATTTAGAATCCTTAAAATGTTAAAAAATTCTAACATTATCATTTATTAATGTAGAAAATAATTTAGGACAGCACCATTACAACCAGTTTCTATAAAATTAAAGTTTTGACACCTACATTAATGTTTCATAAAATTGAAAGTAAAGTAGGCAAACTTTTATTTTAATAACTTTCTTTCATTTTCGTTGACAACACTATAATAATTAATATAAGAGGCTGTAAAATTATTTCCATAAATAAAAGTAAAAACTTAATAATTATTAAAAATGCAAGAAAATGAAAGTGTTTTAAGAAATTCAAGAAGAAGATAAAAGTCTATTGATTCATGAGATAAAAATTTATGTGTGACATCAAAGTTTTAAATGACATTCTTAGATAACGGAAAAATTGTTGGTATTTCATTCAAGACTTTACAAGTACAGCAGAAACACTAAGTGACTTTCCGAATTAGAAAACAACGAATAAGGAAATCTTTTAATTAATTTCACAGTCATTAAATCTCGCGTCTTAGTTGCTCATGGGGTCAATTTCCAAAAAATGTGTAAATCCCAAGGAATTGTATCTTTATTAAGTTTCAGTTAAAATACATCTGCAGGTAAAATTTCTTCATTAGCTTCCAATACTGCCATCCAGCAAAATAATCATCCGAATTCCCGTTCAACTTTTTTTAAAGCTCATTTTGGAAAACGATCCCCTTACGAGCTTTAGTTATGGAGCTCTTTACGAGTTTTAACGAAACGCTATTTGAGTTTCTTTAATTAAGTTGAAAATTGCTTCAGAAATCATACAGGAATATGACTCATCCAGTGTTTTATCAACATTTCCACTACAACTAATTGATTCGCGTTCAAATATTCAATGGAAACTAGTCTATGTTTTTTGTTTAAAGGTAATTTTGAACCTTACCTTAGATGCTTTGAATTTTTCCAATACTCAAACATTTTCTCACAAAAATTCTTGTACTGATTTCATTCATTTGATTTTTGATCAAAAATAATGCAACCTATTTATTAAAACCTATATATGGACGTTTTTGGAAATGATGGTAATTCTTTAATATATAAAATATAAATTGAACACGATGTAAAATTATTATCCTTTACGGTTACTTTAGAATTTATCTTAAATTAAATATGAAACTAAGAATAAAGACCAAGGATAATAATGAATTCGACATGAATAAAAATTTTGGCCTTGCACAAATTTTGTTAAATTTACGTGTTTATAAAAGAATGGAAATAATAACAAGTATACACATACATACGTATGCTTCTAATGGTTCTCAAAGTATAAAATATTTCATGGTTATTAATTATAATCCAAATTATAAGGCTTTGGAATAAATCATATTGAAAGATGATAATTGAATAAAAGTCAAAATAACACGAAAATATTATGGTAATGCGGTTGGTTAATTTTGTGATTAAGTTTACATAAATTTAATTTGAAATCAAATTGGAAAGCATTATTTTATGTCAAAAATTAATTGAATATGATCAGGTTTATTTTTGAATATAACCACAAATAACTAAAGTCAAGTTAATAATAGGATGTTCCCATAGATTATTTAATTGGTATATAATGAGAGTATGAGCCGATGATTACTATGTGAATGGCAAACAAAACTATGTTTTGGACCTAAACATTAGTATATACGTACGTTGATTTCAGACTAGTTTTGTTAGGTTGTTGGTTCAAGATATTCCTCAAGAGAGTTAGCAATTTATTTAAAATTTCATTTGCTATATATTAAAATATCACTATTTAAATGACACTTTACTTTTAAACTTACTTCTTAACTTTCAGGGAATACATACAATGCTGCCTATATCATGGCCTGTATCATTGGTTTTGGCAGGATTAATGACTGTGATACATGTGATCTGTAAAATTAGTTCAACTCCTGATTATTCTCCAAATCTACAATTGGTAAGTTAAATTTAAGATTAAACAGTTGATTAAAAAGAACGTGTGCTTTTAATTGATTTAGAATTCTTAGATGGTAACTCCCCCCCTCCTTTGTAAAACTTAACGTAAAATCAACGTTCCGTAACATTAGCGTATTCACTTATTAGCTTCACCAAAGCATGGTTTATTAGCTATACACCGCAATAGTGAGACTGGTCCTGATGTACGGTATTCTGGTGGGGTGGCCAGCGCTCCGTACAACTGTGAACTTAAGATTAATAAGCAAAATTCAAAGAATGGTAATGGTCTACATTGGTCTACGCAGGATTGCTGCGTGCTTGCATGTTTCCCTTCTTGCGGACTGGAGATTTGATTGATCGAACAACTGATTATGTTCCCCCGGTGCTCTCATTTACGAAGAGCTTTGGGACTTCTATTCCGCTCAGGCCAGCCTGGCTGAGAGAGGAAGTTGTTGAGAGCGGATCCGTCCTTGTAAAAATGGTAGGGTAGATGGGCAAACTCGATGGCAGGGTAGATGGGGGAGTTTATTCTGAGCAATTGGATGTTGAGCTCTCGAATCCGTTTACCGGATCACTGTAGTGTCTTTCAGGCCGAGGTTTTCGCGATTGCGGAGGCTCTGTGCTGGCTTGGTTGCAATATGGTATCGGTCAGTAGCGTCAATATTTTCACTGACAGTCAGATCGCGATAAGAGCATTGAGTTCTGAGAGTTCCACTTCCAGAACGGTCATGGACTGCAGGTCATCTCTTAGCGAAATGCTGTAAGGCTGACGAGCTTGCGGGACATGAAACTACCGTTGGGATTCCACCTTAAAATAATAGCCTGACCATGCCTCTAAGCACTTACAAGCTGCTGCTGCGCAACGTCGTAGTGGAGCACACCAACCTTAGATGGGACGGGATCCTCAGAAGGGAGGATATCAGTACTGTGGTATGGCAAACGATCTTTGTGAGAGCTGCTGTGACGAAGGGGAGGAGGAAACGGTGACCCATCTTCTATGCACATGTTCGGCGCTGGCGAACTCCTGGCAGACATTTCTTGGGTCTTATTCTTTCGGGCGCGCTACAGACTTAGCGAATGTAAGTGTTAGAAGTTAGAGCCGATTTTTTAGGAGCTCCGGCTGGCTCTTCTTAATATCTCTGTCTGTAAAAAAATATAGATTCCACATCACCTGAGGTTGCTTCCGACATATTTGATAAATGCCGTGTGCCTCTATCTTAAATATTGATTGATGATGCTTTCGGTTCATTTAGATAACTTTTTAGATGCTCACAAACAGCATTAATCATTTTTGATTCGTTAGCATAAAAAAGCACTGCCTTATCCAGATCTGCCTTTACGTCAGTGAAACAAACTTGTTAAGATAGTTAATAAATATATAAATAATAAACTACTGTGCACAGAGTAATAAGAACTGGACAGTCTAAAGAGCTTCTTGGTCACTGCCATCAGAAGCTTTATAAGAGGGTCGTGAGTCTCCTAAGCGGGCATTTCCCCTCTCAGGGGAAACTTAAAAGTCTATAGAGCAGTGCCACCTGTAAATTTTGGGGAGTTGCTTTGCTACCCTGTTCGTACAATGACTAACGGTGGATCAAGTTGCTTTACCACCTTTTTCGCACAATCTAAGTAATAAATTAACTATCTAAAATTTTAATATATTGAAAAAATTTAAATTCAATTTAAAAAGATGGTAAACGGCAAATTTTTGAAGTTATTACAAATTGGTTCAAGTTTTAATTTCATTCAAACCGCATGCAAATATACAAAACCGCACTGGTTGTAAAATTCACAATAAATTCTATACGATACGGAAATCAAAATTTCCATATTGCAAACACCTTAAACAACTGAAATTATAGAGAAAAGAACAACTACGCAAATCCCATATAAACCTCGAAAAGATCTCATGTATTATTTTAAGAACAAAATAAAATATCATAAACATTTCTATACGTTATTTAACACATATATATATACATTTATACTTACATACAGCTGATTGGTGAAGTTGTAATGCTTGCTACTGCTTCAGTATCAGGACTTTATTATAGAATAATGTCGGATGCATCACATAAACGTACAGTAGATGGTACACGTACTGGTATTGAACAAAGAGTTAAATTGGAATGTGAACGTGAACAACAAGAACAATTATTACTTAGCGTAATACCAGCATATATTGCAGCTGAGGTAAGTGAAAAATAAACGAAAATTTTATTCTTAACTATTATTTATTTATTTTAATATCATTATTTATACATATGATTCTACTGCTACAGTATGTACATATATAAAATTCAATTATAATGTTATTGTCTTACGATTATATTAAAACTGTTATTACAATTATTTTCCATTTTCTCTTATTATTATTCTATTTTCAAATGTAATACTCGTAATAATGCAAAATATACTTACTTGTTTAAAGTATAAAAGTGGAAAAATAAAAATTATTTAAAATAATTGCTGTTATACCTTTTAGCTCAGTTATATTACACTAAAGACTGCTTGAAGGGATTCATATACAATGTAGAGAATTGTTTTTGGATTATTTTAGGAAATATAGAATATAAGGCGAAATAAAGACTAGAATAGAAAATTATTCTGGCAATGATGTAGTACAAGTTCAAATAAATAATTTCATCCGGATACCATAAAAATTTTCTCCGAATATCAAATATTCGTTTTGACACGCGAACATCTTGCAATTGTTAACATCAGACATTTCCCAATTTTCTTTTGAATGTCAAAAATTCGTTTCGATACCCGAACTGTTATCGAAATACGACTAAATGAGTGTGGAGTCGCATAGCTGTATGTCATACATTATGATTATTAATATACACTAAATTGATTACCATACACAGTGCATCTTCCAAAATCTCACATCGATACTTCTTCGGGAATACAACTGTAATGGCTGAATAAATCAAATTGGCGCCAGATCTCCGTCAATTTTTTGGTAGATGCCTAAGGCATCCATCTTTTAAGGTTGCAAACTCTCAACACTTGCAAATTTTAATTGTCATCTACAACTAAGTAAATAGTTAAAAATACTGTCGGCATCTTGAAAATTTTTATTAAAGCAAATTTCTCATCTAAGAATACACATGCCGAACGTCTAAATGAAACCTGACGTTCATCGCAACTATATAATTCTTGAATATGACGTTAAATGTTCATTTAGGGGAATACTTACAATTTAAAAATAAAAAAAAAATCAGAATTTTCAAATGTAATTTTTAATTTTTCAATTTCATTATTTGCTGTTGAAGAACCCATTGAATTTAAAATGTTAATAAGAAGTTATTTATGAGATAATTCTTATGTAAATGTTTGTGCTTTCGAAAAGTAATTTTCATAAAAAAGCAATAATTATACTAGATGCGCTTTGTCACACATTATGTGCACAAATACTGTAGTTGTTATGTAAATAAATGAATACGATAAACGCATACTTTATGAAAGCAAGATGTAAATTAAATTATTTTTTTAAAATTACGGTGATAAATATTAAAGAAAATTAAAAATGAAGATTTTAAAAATTGAATGAAATCTATTGAGAAAAATAATTTATAGCTGTAGAAAACATAAATTTTGGTCTCTTATGCAGGAATTGCTTGAATAATGAATTGTTTTGAATGGCAACGTTCGTTTCTTCAATGGGAAGTCTTGTCAGTCTATAATCAGGTTTCACCTCACTAATGCTTATGTTCCATTCCCGGATTAACATTTAAAACTGCCGATCCAATTCAAATTACAATGAATTTTGGAGTTTTGGCTACACCAGACCCAAAGCCAAAGCATTATAACGCTTCGGAGAATACGCCGATTATTATAGGGCTCGATTTTTATTTGTCAGTATCTAGTCTAGTTACATTAAAGAACTATAATATAGTCGTTAAAAATTTAATATAATTCTTAAGAATTTTAAAGTAACAAAAGAATGAACGAGTTTTAACTACCTCATTTACATAACGGGCCATAATTAATCATCTTAAAATACGTCCTAATTACGAAGAAAAATCCTTATGTTATTTATAATTCTGTCATCAGCTTAATCCTCGAAATAATTTCAATATAAAATTATTCAATTCAAAGGATTTTGTAATAAAATTTTTAAATTCAAAATTCTCCTCAACATTTTACCCTTTCCAAGATAAGAACGAATTTACAAACAAAAGCAATATCAACAAGTTCAAAGTACATACAAACTTTCTCCTCCAACAATTAAAGTTTTTATTTTATAAAAAAGAAACTCAACAAATAAAACAAAATTCTTTCAGATTCCTGGCTTTATCAAAAAAAATTATAGAAGAACAAATCTTAAATCTTATTTAAGTTAACAACCACCTTCATTCTCTTTACATCCCCCTCTTTGACGGTTAACTCCTTCAACGAATGAACATGTTAATTTCTTTATCGTTTAAATCAAAGTTTTGTTATCCTTTATAAAATGTTAAAAGGTAATAAAAAAAAATCTTGAATTTTTGCAAGAAAAACAATGAAAATATTTTTCAAAGAAAATTACTTTCGATTTTTAAGAAAAGTCGGAAAAAAATTTATAAATAAAAATTAGAAGGAATGAGGAAAACAATTATAAAAAAAAACTTTTATTATTCCGTCAACAAATCAATCAATGTGAACCAAAATGGAATTGAAACAATTAAAACTTTTATTTAATCGTAAAAGAAATGAAAAAGTTAAAAGAGAAAATTTTTCGTGCGATAATTTTGTAATGAGTTCGAAATTTAGGATTTAATTTTATTATTTCATGCTTAGAAAATTAAGTAAGTAGGAAATTAAATGAATAACTTTTCTACACAAAATAATTTAATTGAAAAATGGCAATTCGCCGGAAACGAAAAAAAAAAGCTTAATCACAATCTGTTGGCATAAATGAATTGAATTGACATTTAACAAAACGTTATGTGCAACTCAATAGATTATTACAGTTTAAGGAATTTGTGGAAGTAAAATGGTTTTTAATGTGGTGTCATAGAGAAAATGCTCTCGCTCGTAAGACAAATGTTATATTCTAGGAGGTTTCGTTCACGGCGGCCAAGTTGCGAGTCTCGAAAGATTCTGACGCTTATCAAGAGATGAGTGATATAGGGGCATATCCCACACTCAAATCCTCATACGCAATAGCGTTGCACTGTTGCCCCGATTAACTCTATTCTAGAGTGTAATCTACAATAGAGAAAATTACCTTGAGGGGCACAAGACATCCATATAAGTCGGGATATATTTTAGTCCGAAATAGGCAGAAGTTGAACTACCATGCCGAAATTTTTTTGTAGAACAAGTTCACAATTATAATTTAACCTCTTCATTACCTTATTTTAGCGAATTTAAAGTGTGCCTTACTAGGTGTTACAAACTGTTATTCTCTATTAAAAATGCAAATTACTCTCTATTTTGCCCTTAAATGTTTACTAATTTTGTGTAACAAGTTTTTCTTATTTTCCTATTTATAATAAGGAATTGCGTTACGAAAACAATTTCTGAAAATAATATAATGGAATAATAAGTAACGGATTCAAAACAAATTCAAACTTTGTGTCCCATCCTAATGTTCGCAAAGAGAACAAAACAAAAAAAATTAGAAATAAAAATCTTACACTTATTTTATATAATTTTACAAATTAGGATTCAAAGATAGAAAAGCAAACCTAAATATAAAATTTTCGCAATAAAAAGAAAGAAAAAATTTAATATAAACTAAAAACAGATTAACAATTTCATCCTTTTCTAAAAAAAAAGGAACGGCCCCATTCTGTTTCACACTGTCAGTTTTTTCCATTAATTTTTGTTACTTTAGAAGGACGGATATTCATAACGTTAAAACATTCACTTCAATATCTAGCACGTTATATAAACTTGATATTGTCCGAGTTGTCCCGATTTTCCTACTTGTCCCCATTGTCCCAGTTTTCTTTAAGACTGTAGAGTGTTTAAAAATTTGGATTTTCAAGAGAACCACTTTCTCCGTATAGATTTTTAGTCCATAACGATACTTCTTTCCATGACAACCTCAGAAAAATCCAGGGCGGAAATTTGCGCATCACACCATCCCACAGGCAAAAATGGGGAGTGAGCGTCTTAAGCGTATTATTACTTAATTCACCTAGGATTTCCTTCTACTAAGTACCGGAAAGTGACACATCTTCAAGATCGAACGCTTTTACCTGCACGAATCTTATTCTAGCCGAATTCACTCAGATTAAGCAGTATCTCGACATAATTCCGATCAGTATACTATTCGTGCGAAAGACACAGATAAGAGCATTTAGAGTTTTTAGAGTGTCTCTTGTGAGACCACGGTGGGCCTAATCACTCTGTAGGTCATCAGATTTATTTCATCTCTCTTTGGAAAGTCTAGGGGTTAGTTAAATATTCTCGAATATTAATTAATATTTAGTTGTCTCTGAAAATTATACTTTCAATTTAAGAATCGCTCAAAAGACTTCATTACTCTTAACAGAAAATGCGTTTGAAATTTTTTTGATTTTTTTATTTGTCATGGCTTTAATGAGACCACAAAATTCTATTAGCTCCATTAATTTTCATATTTCTGTCTAGCCTTCTTGCTGAATCACATGGGGGAGCCGACTTCTGCAGCCTATGCAGATTGTACCTTCCAACTCTGCGGTGAATCCGCCTGAGCCGGCCGAAAGAAACACCTTCGTATGGCGACAGCCCTGCGTGTCCCACCAGTGAAGGCTGTATTCCACCGTGAGCAGGCAAGTCTGGCCCCCCACGGCGGAAGAAGGCAGATCATAGAAAGTCAGCCCCAGATCCCCTCCGCGCCAGCCCATCGGCAATCTCGTTGCCCGCATGACAACTGTGACCGCGCACCCAAAAGAGCGTGACTCTGTTCACCGATGCCAATTCCACAAGTGCAGCAAGGCAACCCCAGATCACTTTGGATGTAATCTGAGCCGAAGTCTTTTGTGCTACCGTGCTATACGGGTGAAGGGTCGCATATATACGCTTATCCGGGCGGACACCATATATACCCGACTCCTTTTTGGACCCGCTTGCATACCACACGATCGAACCCGAGTCTAGTCCGATCCCACGTCTCCATCGATCGAGAAACAGAACCCTGCGATTAGAGCATCGAGAACAGCGATTAGATTAGAAGGGAAGAAGAACCCTTTTGCAGCGAAGATGAAGAGTGTATC